TCTCTGAGGCGTCAGCAGCAGATTCAGATTCATATAGGGAGGAATAGTACGTCTTAAACACCTCGTTTACTTTCTTTGAATCAGAGACCAAGTTGCCTGCCGCATCTTTAATTTGGGAAATTAATCGAGACGAGGCCTGACGTTTTAACTGATGGGCCAAAAGCCTTCTGGGCTTATCACCATAAAATACATTTTAGATATTTTAGAAAAGCTTTTGTTCTTCGCTATAAATCTGCACATTTAAATGTTTTTTATGAGTCTTTGACCTTGCCACTCTGGTGGTCCGTGGGAAATTCATCTCACCCTAGAAGCTGAAATTGACTATTTTTCACTATGTCCTGCTAGCACACTCTTTTTCTTTCAGCTTTACTTTTTAACAAAAAACCCCAAAACAAACAGTTCGCCTCATCATCCTGCTGTGCTCTGGTAATTTTTCAGAAATCATCCCATATATAGCAGATTTATTAGTTCTGATGTTTGTTTGTTTGTTTGTTTTAAAAAAGACATCCCTAATATATGCTTGTGTCTGTCTGTTCAGGAAGACAAAACAAACGTTCAAGTAGGAGCTATGTCTGTCAAGAGAACACAGTACAATATGATCCACAAGTAGCTTCACAAACAGACATAGTCATTTCTGTAATTTATATCCCTATCCATTTCACTGTAAAGGATCTGACTGATTATGATGTGAAGGCGATGCTCACCTCTGACACCTGGTCAGTGCTGGGCCTTTTTGCAGGTGCACAGGGGCATATATTCATATCATTGTCAAAAATTACACCAATTTACCACCGGAATTCAGCATTAAGAGCATAGCTGCCTGTTAGAGCTGGAGTCTGCTGCAGTGCTCACCAAGCAGACACTCTCACAAGCATGTTGTAGACTTCTGCAGGATAGACTGGGTTGTTCCGTGTGCAAGTGGCAGTGTGTCTGTGAAATTAAATTATTTGCTCATGATTTGATGTTTTATCCTACGCAGGGATTTTAACATAAATATAATTCAAGCATATGAGTCTGTAGAGATTCATTTGCTTTTGGAGCCAGCTTCAAGCAGCCTCTAAAATTCTACAGTCGATCTCCCTTTCCCCTCCTCAGCAAAGGTTGGCAGTAAAGCACCTGATGTTACTGTTGTTCACCCTTAAAAGACACGAAGAGGAAGAAGAAGAAGAACGCCCATTTTGCTTAGAGTGTCCGCATCGAAGAGTACAGAAATATCAACAGACAGAAGAGGACAAAGAGCTGCAATGGACGGGTAAATGTATTTATGTTGCAGCTGATGCTTTTGGGTGTGCCCTCCACAGCTATGCGTGGGCCGTATTCAGAATAAAGCATTTCCCCTGCTCGGTTTGACACAGGCTAAATGTTAGCTCCCCTGCAAATCGTGAAGCTGTATAAAGCGAAGTGCACGACGTTAGCTAGCTAACGTCACGAAATGTATTACTGAAATGTCTTGATTGTGTGGGGAGCATTATTCAGCAGTATGTTTTATGTGTCTTTTTCTAACGTAATGGTAATGCCTCGTGTTAACAACCTAGTTAGATTAAGACACTTATGCGTTTCGACGTAATAATGCATTGTTTTGTGTGTAAAATAAAATTGAACGTTTGCTTGCTACATTAACAAAGCTGCCGGTAACAGTGGAATCAGTGTAAGTGGTTTCATGGCATTGGCGACTATTACTGTCAGTTATTACAATTTTAATAAGCGATTAGTTAACCCGGCGTTAATGAATCATGTCAAAGCCGACATGACTTGACAGTTGGAGCTGCTCGCGCATTAACTGAAAGCAGGCTCCTTTGTCTGGAATAATGCATGCTACACTCACCTCTGTCGGGGTATTGTACATTAAGGGTTTAAAAATATATATATTATTATTTCACTGTGAGAGTGCGTCGCACAACAGTTTGTGCAGTTAACTATATGCAAAATAATGCAATAAATAAAGGCGGTTTTTTTGGATTTAGGTTTGTTTTAAAACACTTTAGCATCAGTATCAGGTGCTCATACTGCTCGGACTGTACATTTGGAAAGAAAATGGATAAACGAAAGGTGTGTAAGAGGAACGTATATCAGTTTAGTAAATATGGCCATATTCAAAGCAGGCTGTAAAGTTGGTGGGTGCGTTGAAACAGAACAAATGTGATCTGTATTGTTTTTCTTCGAGTAGTAATATGATTTAAGGGAATATTGGCACCAAAACGACATATACTTTGTCATTTTTGTTACTCGCCTAGACGGTACAGTTTCTACTTAAAGCTCTGAAATAAGAAAATCAGTTGTTTTACAGACTGCATTGATAGTTGTATCTGTGCAGTCATCAGAGCTCCAAAGTATCGACAGTAATAAATGAACACAAGTTAAATTCTCACCAGCAACATAATCATTTCCAATTTTACTAAGCAATACTTCAATTTTGGTTTTAATTATGAGAACAATTACATTGTTTCAGTGCTCACGAGATTTGCAGTTTATCCTTAATCTCTTTTCCCATTTGTTTTTGGCAGTGATGTTGCGGTTGGTGTGAAAGTAAGTTGTATTGCTGAGTTTTGGTTTTTTTCCCTCTACTCTTAACAATTATGTATTCCCTGACTGTTTGACATGATCTTTTAGATTTTTCTTTGTATACCTTTCAGATTTTGTTGAACATAGAAATTTTAACTTTTTTTCTTTTTTTGCTTGTTTTACTAGAGAGGCTCAGATGAGCTCAACATGTACGGTAGCAGCCCCAACTCTATGACTGGTGAGTTCAGTTGTAGCTTGAATGGAACCCACAAGCACCTCCTTAAAAAGTGTTTTACGTGCATATGATACGTGACCTAAAAGATAAATTCAGTGCTAACGGTTCCCAATATTTCTTTTCTCTGTCAAGTCATGATTTAACATTACAAGTTCATAATAGTTCTGTTCTTACTTCTTTGTTACAGTGATCTTTGAAAATGTGTCAGTGAACAAGTATGCCCAATAACATGACCCAAACTGTGTGGTTTGATATGAAAAGCTATTGATCCTTAATGTTTGTCTATATGTGCATATTCAGCGAATGGCAGTGACAGTAAGAAACAACGCCTGGACGAATCACCTCCCTCCAGAGTCCTCCACATCAGAAAACTTCCCAATGAGGTGTCAGAGACTGAAGTCATCGCTCTGGGGCTGCCCTTTGGAAAGGTCACCAATATACTGATGCTAAAGGGGAAAAACCAGGTGAGCTACAGTGAAATATTCTCGTTTCGGCTAGTGCTAGGATGGAAAATAAAACATTCAACTTTTACACAGAATGGGAAATTAACTATTATGCACTGGGCCTAATGCAAGGGAAAAAGGCTATTTTCAGCCGCTCCCTTATTCCAAAGGTGTCACAACAGCAGTGGTGTGATTTGTCAGAATCCAAGAACTGAATACTGTAAATAGATGATTTTACATTGTAAACTGCAAAAGAAGATAATACTAGTTATCACTTTACCCCCAAAAGCAAATGTTGAAAGGACAAAACTTTCCTAGCGAGTACTCTTGTAACAGTTACGTTTCTCTATCAAAATATGCTAATATTTGCATGTGCATGTGCAATGACAATAAAGTTGAATTCTATTCTATTCTATTCTATTCTAATACAGCAAATTTAGAAAAAAAAGCTTTCACATTATTTTAGTCACGGAAAGCCATTACTAACATAAGGTGAGCAGAGTTTATTTCCCCCCCAAAAATTCATTCCTATATTGAATGAGCGTCTGGCCAGTTATGAATACAGGTGGACTTACTAGTTCATTAAATTCAGTGAGACTGTGTCTGTTCCCCGGGGGCTTTCATTGGTGTTATTGATGCTCTGTGAAATTAGCCATTTGTGTTAATTTTTTCCTGGATTTTTTGTCACCTCAACTGTAGCATTATCATTCTTCAAAAGTTGAACATGGTGTACCTTTCCAGGCTTTTCTTGAGTTGGGCACAGAGGAAGCTGCTGTAACTATGGTGAACTACTACACAGCTGTCACACCACAGGTCTGAAGTACAACCTTTTCTATAAGCATTAATGTTTTCCGCTGTTGCTTTAATTCTTAGTAACTAATATGTGGATTTGTATTGTATTCAGGTCAGAAATACTCCAGTCTTCATCCAGTATTCCAACCATAAGGAACTGAAAACAGACTCTGCTCTTAACCAGGTAAATGGATTTATTTATTTGTATTTGTACACTAAAGACTGTCCTTCACCCAGTCCTCGATGAATTAATCTTAAATCACCTTATATTGTTGTGTCTTTTCTCTTTCCATTCAGAGGGCCCAGGCAGTACTGCAGGCAGTGTCAGCAGTTCAGGATGGAAGCTCTCCGTCCTCTGACCCAGGAGTTTTGGACTTAACTCCACCCCCCAGCCCTGTCCTGCGAATTATCATTGACAACATGTTTTATCCTGTCACATTAGATGTTCTACAACAGGTAAAACATGAATACTAAATTTGGCATTATGTTTGGTATTCACAGTCTGGTATTTTCTGATGTTTGGACTACAGGTCAGAAAAAGAGCACAGAAATAAACTAAGGGTGCATATATCCGATATTTCGATCAGATATCCAGTACTGACCCCAAAACTGGATGGTAAAAATGGTAAATGGACTGGTTCTTATATAGCGCTTTTCTACTGAGCACTCAAAGCGCTTTACAAGATGTCATGACAATGGACTGATCTATAGTTTGAGTCCTTCCTTTCAATTCTGTGTTTGTGTGCTATCCAACAGCTAGCTGCAGAGCTAAGGTAGCATAAAGCTAACCTCAGTTATACAAAGCAGCAGCAGTTTGGAGGCATTTCTCATTGCCAACAAAGTTTTCTTGCTCAACTGTAAACTGTGGTTAGAGTGACCTGACATGACTGAAAACATAGGATGACACAACTTTGCTTTTTCTCACTTTGTCTCCCTCGTTCACTTTCACTCCTATTATATTCTTTCGTAGAGGCATTACATCAGGTCCCAGAGTGAAGGACATTGGTTTGGTTTAACACTTCATGGGAAGCTTTTATTATGGTAACATAACATGATGTTGTCAACTCACTCATATTATTTGCCTCCAGATCTTTAGCAGTGCCACACTTCAAGTGTCTGTGAGAAGAAAAAGCATTAATTACTGTGACTGTAATTGGTAGCACTATGTAGGCAGGATAGCGACTTAATTTAAAACTGGTATCGCATTATACTCAGCATTGGCAGATGTCCGCAGCCAACGTATTGGATGTTATCTGGAAAAAAATGAATCGGTGCATCCCCACATTGATCATCATCCCCATAAGACTTCAAAAGCTGTTTTTGCTGACTAGTTTTGTCAGCAAATTTGTCTATATAGTTTGAAACTGTTATCATAACAAATCTAATTGGTGGGACACTGGTTTAGCTCACTGGGTTGAGCATGTGACCTATATATAGCCTTAATACAGAATCCTGGGTTTGATCTGCCTTGAGGCCATTTACTGTACATTTTGCACGTGGTCTTTCTCCCAGCTTTCCTCTCTTGTCTCCACTGTCCATCATTACAAATAAAGGGTAAAAAGACCTCAAAATACATTTAAAAAAAAGAAAAAATTGTGAACCTTACTCAGTTTAAGTTTGCTGCTCATGGTTTTATAGTGTTTGTTTTGTTTTTTTTTCTTTTCTTTTCCTCTTCTCAGATCTTCAGTAAGTTTGGGACCGTAATGAAGATTATAACCTTCACCAAGAACAACCAATTCCAGGCTCTTCTGCAGTTCAGTGACCCCGTCAATGCACAGCAAGCTAAACTGGTGGGGCCACAAATACACAAACTGGAGCTAACACTCAGAATGCAGACTTACATATTTCGAATTAGAATGGGAAGCAGATTCCAGGATTCTTGGTTCTGTGGAACCAGCTTCCAGTTTTAATTGAGGAGCCAGACATCCTCTCTACTTTTAAGATTAGGCTTAAAACTTTAATTTCGATAAAGCATATAGTAAGGGCTGGATCAGATAGCCCTGAATCCTTCCTAGTTACACTGCAATAGGTCTTTGCCTTCCCATTGTTGTAGAAGCGCAAATAAAGTATGCAGGCAGATGCATAAATGGCTGACAAAACCAGAAAAAACAATGCTTAATGTGTTGAGCCACTACATGCTGACAGAGTAGCAACAGTGTCTAACACTTTCTTTTCTCCAGGGTTATTAAAGTATATCTCTGTAGGCTTTAGATCTGTCTTTCTATCTGTCGCCATCTATGTACCAAAATACAGTTGTACAACATTGTCGTTGTTGTTATTGTTGTTGTTGTTGTTGTTATTAATAAAAATAATAATCTGGTACTGACCTCAAAATATGAGTTAGGAAGTGCTTTGCTCTATTGATTTCGTCTGACATCTTAAAAAAATTTCAGTATTTGATACCACAACATTGACTGCATGAACAGAATCAACTTTTGGAGACTATTGTACAAGCTTTTATTTCTCTTTTGTTCCTTTTACTTCAGTCTTTGGATGGACAGAACATCTATAACTCATGCTGTACTCTGCGGATAGACTTCAGTAAACTGGTCAACGTTAACGTCAAATACAACAATGATAAGAGTCGAGATTACACCAGGCCTGATCTTCCTACAGGAGATGGAGAGTCAACCAACAAGGATCATTCTTTACTGGGTAAATAGACCACCTCCTGAATCCATCTATCAAACATCAACTTATCTGTCCCTCCATTTATCCATAACCCTGTACTGTCACGTTCATAACTCCATTTTTTTGCTTTAGATGGAACACATCCACAAAGAAATTCTTTTGCCAGTCATGGTTCAATTTAAGGAAGTGAATTTGAAGCCAGTTTACCGACACATTATTACAGTTACACTGAATATGTCGTAATCCTTTCCGCTCTGTATTTGTTTGTGTATTTAAGAATAGAGAATAAAGAATGCAGTTAGTTATTATAATAATCAATCAATAAAGGCCAATAAATGCAAGTAAATAGATTGTTTGACCTACAGAGGGATGCATTTAAAATTAACTTTGAAAATTAAAGTGAATAAATGATCTGGCAGACATGTGTGGGTCCCTTCATGTGTATGCCTCCCCAGACAATTATGACCATCCAACTGGAAGCATAAAGTTCTCATTGGATTCTCCAGACCCTTTCAGATCGTTCACATGTGCTCATGATGAACCTGCTTTTTCTAATCTCTGAAAAACACAGTGCGCAAGTGGTTGACCTGCCAATTCTGGTATTCTGTGGCAAATGCCAGTCGGGCTCCACAGTGCCAGGCAGTGAGTCCAGGGCCCACTAGAGAACACTGGACCCTAAGCCACCCTTGTGAAGTCTGTTTCTCTTGTTTGGTCAGTTTGGAAATTTACACTACTGGTCTCCTGGAGGTCATTGTGTTGGGCAAGATTTCTGTCTCCCATCTGTGTCTTGGAATCTCCCGAGACTGTCCTGGGAGACATCGGACACTAAGAAACCTTCTGGCCGTGGCACGTATCGATGTGCCATACTGGAGGAGTTGGAATACCTGTCCAATCTCTGTAGGGGCTAGGTATCGCTGGTAGCGTCTCGCTACCAGTAGAGACACTGATAATAGCAAAATGCAAAACTAGTTAAAAAACATTAGAAAAGATAAAGAGGAAAACTTGTCAGTGGTCCCTACTTGTAAACCGTTCTTGTCACATTGTTGCCCCACTAGTGCACCTGTTGTTACTTTCATTAACACCAAAGCAGCTGTACCTGATTAGCCTTGCCCTTTGCTATTTACCTGACCAGATCAATATCCCATAAGTATAACTGACTTGGTGCTAGGGTCTGGTCTGGGGTGTTTAAAGTTTCTGGGTAATATTATGAGTTGTCCTCTTTAGCCTGATAAAGTCTAGCACGAAACCGTTACAAAGAAATATATTGCACAAGTCGTTGATGGTGCATGGGAGTCAGTTAGAAATGTGCAATACTTCATACTTTTGCAATTTATGCAGTATCAGACACAAAAGCAACTTTTCGTGTTATTGTCTTCATAAACTTGGTGTTCGTTTCTACTGCCCTTGTGCTCTTCCCTTTTACATTAATGTTATTCATTAATCACTCTGAATATATTCTGCAAAACAATCAACTTTAACACCTTGTTACTGTATTGTGTATTAGGAAGGGGCAAGTATTTGAATTGATCAACCAATCAAGAGTGTGACTTTCAAACAGACCCAGCTTTTTGCAGTGTAGTGCACATTAGTCATTTGCTGTTTATACAGGATATTGAAAGCTTATTTTTCTCACAGGCTTCCTAAATATGCGTCTTCTGGGTCAGTACAGTAGGTGCACCGGGTCATCTCAACGAACTGCTTATGGTTGGGAAGCATAATGCTTGTTGCCAAATATAGTTGCGGCAAACGACACAAATTCTTACAAGCTTACATTACAAGATTACAAGTTTGTTGTAGTAGCTACAAATTAAACTGTAGACATAGAGAAGTATCTTCCATCTTTGAAGCAAAAGAGATCTTACTTGCATTTATTTCCATCAGGTTGTAGCTGTGGGTCAGTTTGTTACATTTTATTTGAGAAGCAAGTTTCTTTCTCTTAGACAAGTACACGTTATTCATAGCAAATGACACCATTTGTATACTGACTTTTGGATGTCCGTAACTTGTCTCTGGTCATTCTACTTGTACATAAATCATCTCTGTTCCTCTTTTTGTGAGGTGTCAGCTTACAGGTTGCTGGTGTATTGCAGCCATGCTGTAATGCTGATATATCTTAGATCTCATTTAAGCACAGAGTTCTTTTTTTAATGTTAATTTTGTCTCTTCTAATCTGGTGACGATGCAGTATCTGACATGCACTATCTGAGTAGTTTTCGATAAATATTTACTTATTGACTGTAATAACTCATTAAATATAATACTGTTATTTAGGCCAGTATGGATTTTTGTGATATTTGTACTCTTTGGTGCTAGGTTAGCTAAGTGTTGTGTGGTATAAATCTAGCTGTTATTGTCTTGTAGGTACCCCATCTGGAGCACTAGCTTCCTACTCTAGTGGAGGAGGTTACTCATCTTCTCTCTCCCTCTCCCAGGGTGGAGGTACCTATACTTTTTTTTTTTCTTATTTTTGTTTTTCCATGACTCTGCCTCTGTTACTGCTGCCCTGTCTCCTGTCATGTCCAGCTATGATTACTATAAAAGAATAGTGGTTACGAAATAGGTCGGTTGATTTTGGAACTAAATATATAAATGAGGCAAATAGTGGCCTTAAGAAACTGCTGTTTACCATCTTGTAAACAGTTGGGTTCTTTGCAGTCCCCTGTATTATTATAGTTCATCACATAATAAATGTTTTTTCCCAATAATGTGCTGGCATTGATTAACCTGAACTATTTTTATGAGCTTTTTTAATCTTACTTTTAATATTTAAATATATGTATAGGTTGTGTTAAATTAGCTGAACTGTTTAAACTGTGCTTTTTCAGCTTAATTTAATAGCAATACTGAGAGTTTCAGAGATTTAAAGATTGCTGCGTTTTGAAGTCTTGAAGAATTTCTCTTTGTAGATTAACTTGTTCTGTTCACCAAAACACTTAAATGGTTTAAATGCAGGTTGTATGTTATGGCTGTTGATTTTTGTAAAAAATAAATAAATATAGAAATAATATTCAGTCAGATGTGTGAAAACTTTGCTCATGGTTGTTTTTCTTCCCCATGTTTTAAAATGAGGGGTCTTTGTTGAGAGTGTAAATCTGTGTTGATTCAAATGGCCCTGTTAGTTGAATGCAGTGAGATTTGGGGGGGGGGGAATGTTATGTGTGCTTCATTGTTGTCGACAGCTACACCTTCCCCCAGCTGTACAGTTACAGCTGTTACCTGTATCCACTAGCATATTTTTATTGGGTATGAAATAAAAGCAACTTGGAAAAAGCTTTAAAGGTTAATTAAAAAAACAAACAAACAACTCAATAATAACTTATATTATTTACTGTTGTTTTAACTGTTTAGCTGTTATCCATCCACATATGTTCCCCATTTACAGATTACAGCAGCCTTGATCATTCTTTGCTGTATGAATGATGTTGACTTTTGAAGGTTATGGGGCTAACAGCTTTTCTACTGGAAGCCCTGCTTCTCTATGTGGTTTACCTCTATAGAGAAGAAGCAAAAATGTTAAATGGTATAGTGCAGGTAATGTTCACTTTGGTGACCGTTCCCTTTCATTTCTGTAGTGCCAACAAGTACTACTTTTTTTTTTTTTTTTAAGTTGAGATAGCTAAAGTTAAATGGCAATTGTCATACCACCAATAACCTCAATCATGTCAGACCCTACCCTGAATTGGTTAGGTTGTCCATTTTGATTTCTTTTCATGTCTTTTTTTCTTTATCACATTTGAGGAATTGTTACATATTTCGCATTTCAGATCACAATAGTTCTTTCATTTAGGATCTGTTAAACTGATTAAAAATAATAGCCCTGCCAATGCTTCATGCAGTTAGCTGACAATAAACAAGTGTGTTGGTGTTTCTAGTTTTTGTAGTTTAGTGTCTAATTCTGAGATGTGCCTTCTCTTGTGCTTTCCGAACAGGAGCCATCAGCCCTCTGAGTGCGGCAGCAGCGGCAGCAGCAGCTGCAGGTCGCGTTGCTCTATCAGGATCAGGAGTGTCAGGGGTCCTGTTGGCATCCAACCTAAATGAAGAGGTACACAAACCATGTGCATAATGTTAAAGTAATATTTTTAAGTTCTGTAAAATGCACTTATTTGAATTGTTGGATGCTGCTGAGGTTGGTAGTAGTGTAAATTCCTGTGTGGGCTGTGGTTGGATGTGTGCTATGTCTTTTGTGTGCTAAATTTTTCCCATATCTTCCTCCACTTAGCTAAAGTATAATACATCGTCTTGACCCCTAAGCTGTTTCAGGGTTTTCTTCACTTAGCACCAAAACTTTTTTCCCCAGTTAAATTGTCCAGTGTGGATTGGCCTTTAGTGTGGATTGGCCAATTTATCTTGTTTTCAAGAACTTTCTCAGATTCAGGAATGACTGTTAGGGAGTGGTGTGAGGGTGTGTGTGTCTGTATATGTGTGTTTTTGTGTCTGTGTGAGAGAGAGATGAATCTCCAGATTGATTTTGTTCTCCAAGACCCATCACAAGTCCTAAATTTTACTGTCTTAAAATATTTTCAACTACTTCATGTTTGATCCCATTGTGTCTGTCAGATGGTGAGAGGTTTCTCTGTAATAAACACCTGCATACTTGTATATTTTTTATCATAGCATTCTATTTAGTCTTTCAAGTTTTTGTTAATTTTCTAAGTGTAAATGTGCAACTATTCTGTCATCTGTTTTTCCAGTATCTTCTGTACCTGTTATCTTTTTCTGTGTTCCATCTCTCTATCAAACTCCTTCTCTTTTCCTCTCTCTCTGTCTGTCTTTGTCCCTCTCTGTATTGAAATGGACTTCTTAGTAAAATAGTGGTTTCACACTTCTACCCTTAGTGCAGGAGCTGTATCCTGACCGTTTCATAAGAGCACACAGTTTTCTCTGGTGACCAATCCGCTTGAGAGCAGCAACTTCCACATACACTTGGGAGTCTGCTCAATACAGTCCATTTGTTAAGTAGTGTTTGGGTGTGGTGTGGCCATTCTTCATATTGTAAGTGTTGAACCCAAGTGATGTTTTTCAGTCACTTGCTCATTCTTTCTCAACTCTGTCATCAAATGTATGGATGGATTTTAGCTGTTTTAACACAGTAGACTTGAGTTTCCAGTTTTCATAGTAAAAGAAGTCCCAGACAATGAGCAAAACTTTAAAAAAAGCTTTCATCCATCTTGAACATTCTAAAATTTTTCGACTAATTTTGGTAGTAGTAAAATGTGACAAACTGACACCCTTGTTTTGGCAATGGCCTCTGTTAACACAGAGGATCTTGTTCCAGGGTTGGACTACTTATAGTGATGACACAAGGACTTATTTGAAATGTTAGATTTTTTTTTTTAAATAGGATGAAATTTGTAAAATGAATACATGTTCTTTTATGAATAGCTTTTTAGATCGTCCTGGTTTTAAATTGCCGTACATGGGAATGCGCCGACCCAATGCCAGTCATGACTCTGAAAGCTATATTAGGTATCAGTAACAGCGGGCCAATGAGAAACCAGTGTGACCATTAATGACATCACAGTAGTGTCACACTGAGCTTAAATGACACAAATGCATTCTTTCATTGTAGTTTGCTTTTACAAACAATGATTCCGAATCTCCTCCTCAGAGGGATGGAAACAGCTTTGTATTTTAGTACTAGCGGACTATTGGATCGGTACTTCGTATTAGCAGGTATATTACAGGTGTTATTGCCTTGGATTGGTGCATCCCTAGTAATGTTTGAATGAATAATTTATTGCTTTGCATTTAAGTGGTCTAGCTCCATTGTTTGTATAAAGCTCCTCCACACTTGTCAGTTTGATCTGCCAGACATGGATGGTGGTTCTTGTGGTGCTCGATGCCTCCAGCCATCTGCTTCATGGTACTGTGTCCTTTTGGTTTGATGTGTCCTGCTGCTCACTCTTCCACTCACTCTTTGTTTTTTTGTTTATTATTCTACCTGCCTTCCATTGTTTTGTTTTGTTTTCTTCGCTGTTAAATGCATTCCGAAAGAAATGTTTGCATATGTGTGTAAACAAAACTGGACTGTGTGTTTGAAATCCAGCCAGCAATCAATCAGACTCCGTTGATATTCCACTGATGCTCTGTTTACTGACCTCTGCTTTGGTTTTTGTCCTCCTCTCCTCCTTTCTCCTTTCCCTGCCTCCTTTTTTCCCTCCTCTGCTCCCCCTTCACACATTTATTTTCTCTCCATGTGGCCATCCATTCTTTACTGCCGCACACTTCTCTTAACCCGCAACCAATCATCTACATTTGCCCTGAATTATTTTGCCTCCTTTCTCACTTTTTACTCTTCACTTTTCTCACTCTGATCTAAAACAAATTTGGTTTTGCCATTTTGACCCTCCTCCTCTCCGAAACTCCCACTCCCCCATGGCCTTCATCTTTGCTCCACCCCTCACCATCATGGAAACCACCACCCCTCGTCCAACGCTGGGCGGTCTGATTTCTACCTTCGTCTCTCCTCTTCCTCCTCCTCTGCTCCTCCTCTTCCTGTCCTCTGCTCTGCGGTCTCTCTCTCTAAAGATGGTCACGCCTCAAAGTCTCTTTACCCTCTTCGGTATGTTCAACCTCTACTATTCTATCTGTATATCTCTCTCTGTTAATCAAGTTTTGTTCACTTTCTTCAGTGATGTCGTGGACTTCTGTATCTTCCTGTATTTCCAAGCCTTTCTCTATTATATTGTGTACTCAAGAGTTCAAATATACTTCTGTCACCACATTAAAAGTGCAGTGAGTCTGACAGATTGTCCATTCGGTCAGCTTATCTCTAAACTCAAGACACCAAAACCACTTACATATATACCCTATAACGCATAAGAACTCTGCCTGGTCCACAGTTGGTGTAGCAGGCCTTCAGTCAAAAGACAAGTTTCTGTTTTGTTTTTTGTTGTTGGTGTTTTATTTTTACATGTACAATTGCAGAAAGACGAAAAAGCCAAACTGTCAACTGCATATATGTATCTAAAATACTGCACCATATTTTCTTCAACTTAAGAATTTTTTCAAGTCAATAGTCGGGTGTCTCTGTGAACACTGAGAGAGCTTTTAATTGTTCATACTGAGCATGGAAAAAATGTATGGTATATGGACAAAAGTATGGGGAATCTTAAAATTTAGGTGTGTTTTGACTCTTTGCCACAGGAGTATAAAATTATACATCTAGCCATGCAGTCTGCAATTTGTGGAAGAACTCATTGAATTGGAGCATGGTACAAAAATAAAATGGTGATGTTGCAATAATTCAAATCGTAAAAGTAAAGTAAAGGTACAGAGGGGGGTCACTAATGCTCTGCTGACCCAAACATCCTCTGCCATTAACATCAACACAAAAACTGTCCACCAGGAGCTTCACAGCATGGTTTTCCATGGCTGAGCAGCTTCTGTACGTGTAGCTGGCATTGACAAGGTTTCAGACTGAGCTTAACAGTTTATGATATATCTTTAGTTTTGCATGTTTCTCGTACCACAGCACACACAGACCAGTAAAAACAAGAGAAAATGTTTTTTTAATGTCCATGGCCATTTAGAATCACCAGTTAATCTAACATGCATGTCTTTGGACTGTGGGAGGAAGCAGGATTTTTTTTAGTGGAAATCCATGCAGGTACAGGGAGAACAAGCCCCAGCCAGCCAGTGCTTGAACCAGTATTTGCTTTAATCACCCTAATTTTTTTCTTCCTCTTATAATTTTAAAACTGTACCCTAAAAGTGCATTAGGAAAGGGATTATTTAATGACTAGGAACCTGTTTCAGTGTTGATACGAACACCTGACTATTGTTTTAGGACTAACCTTTAAATACATTGAACATCTGCCTGTGAAAATGTAATTCAACTGCTTCATTGTAAAAGTGAGTGCTGAAAGGTTTTACAGCCAGTAGAAGTAATAGAAGCGTTGTTAGAGCACCACAGCGACCACAAATGAGATAAAATTTGTTTTAGATGAAATGGCAAAATAAATATTTGTTCCACTCTCAAGTTTATTAGCAAAGACCACAGCAGAAAGTATTGCATCCCTGCAGATTTCTGCTGTCTTTCTCCTTGTGCCTTGGCTACCATGTGTCTTTTAGTGGTTTTTTATTTTTTCCTTCCTTACTGATAATCAGGTTGATCACGACAGTCCTGTGTACTCATTAAGACTCATTCTTGCGCTACTTTTCTTTCTATCCTTTTTTTTCTAGATTTTGTTTTAAACAAGTGCAGTCAGTTTGCAGTTGGATTTTGCAGCCAATCAATCCTCTAAATAAGTTGTGTCACAAAGGTCACATTGGACTGTCGAGTAGCACGAGAGTTTCTTGCCTTTACACTCATATAAACTAGTTTTTAGTTTTTGCAACTCCAAGATGTCCACGGTTCAAAATATCTCCATTCAAAATCACTGAAAAGATATCAGTCGTTCTGAGTTCTAACTAAGTCATGTTCCTGACTTAGTTTACTCTATATTTGTTTAATGACGTGTATTTTTGACCATGTCCGTGTCTAGTTTTCCATTTTGAATTGCATTATTAGGCTGGATTTGTGAGTCCTGCATACACTGCTCAATAATCAATCAGGTGTCATTGCTAAAGCTCAACCACGATTTTCTCATTGGTTCACAGTCATGATATAAAACTACTCAGGTTCACAGAGGCATTTTATTGACTTTAAAGTTGAAGTCAAATGGGAAGATTCCATCTTTTTCATTTGTCTTTCTAGCACTAACTTTATTCCTTCCATCCTTCACACTTCTCCTTTTTTTATCTTCGTCGGCTCCATCTCTCCTGCTCTATCTGTCTTCTTTCTCTTCTCCCCTGCTCTCTTTCTCTCCTATCGATCTCCCTCTCTCGCTCGCGCTCGTTCTCTCTCGCTCTTTCTTTCTGTACCTTCAGGGGTCTATGGTGATGTGCAAAGGGTAAAGATACTCTACAACAAAAAGGACAGCGCTCTGATTCAGCTGTCAGATGGCAACCAGGCTCAACTTGGTAAGTTTGAGATCATTTAAGGCATGATACTTGTATTTTTACAATCACTGTTTCAGGCTTAATGTGAAAACTTGCCAGTTCCACTGGTTGACATATTTTGAAAAACTCTTTAGGAAAAATGGATTTATTTATTATTTCACTGAAAAAAATGTTCTGTTAAAGATTCTCATTGATATGAAGAAAATGAAATGTGCTTTTGTTTTTGTAGCGCTTGAGATTTGCATGTACAAAGTCACTCGAGTAGTGATTTTGATGATTACAGTTAGGGATGGGTACCGGTGTCCGGTGCCATGATGGCACCGGTTCTGACATAAACGGT